TTGTGAAGAAGGGTTTAATAAGTGAATAACTATTTTGCACCTTGCTAGTTCAAAATGCAGAAGGGAAGTTAAAGGGTAAAATGGAAATTTTAGATGGGAAGAGATTGTTCGGATTTAGGAACGTGGCTTTAATGCCCCTAACATAGCTAACACACTATTAGAGCTCTTCTATAAGATCAAGATAAGAAACACAATGTAAAATATGAAGACCACAATGCTCTTAAAATAGCTAACACATTATTAGAGCTCTTCTATGAGATCACAATGGTAAACACAATGTGAAGAATGAAGTGAGAGAAAGGAACCAAAATGAATGATGAGACAGATAGAAAGAAGAGACGACTTAAAATTTTTATTTTTAAATTTAACACACTCATCCCTATTTTATCAAAACATTGTTTGGTTGTTGTTTGGCTCTGCTTAAAAAGGGTATTTTTAATCTTAATTTGGTTGGAAAAACGTGTTTTTGTTATCAATTCATTAAATTTTATCTCTGCATTTTGCTTTCTTCTAATGCTTCAAATTAAATTTGTCAAGGAAAAATGCAGCTTCTTGGGTCAAAGAGCAGAAGCCAAGAGCTTAGACAATTTCACCTCATTGCATAGATGTATATTAACCTTTTACAAAGAGCAGATTAACATAGTATAAATTTGATTTTTCAAAAGAAAAAAATAGTATAAATTTAGAGGGTTTAACTGTAGTCTTATAGATGTTTAGCGTGTTTGGTGGAGTGTAGAAAAGCAAATTTTTATCTTAGAAGTTTAAATATTGTTGGAGTGAAATTCACAAATTGGTATTTAAAATGATTTTTAAGTAACTTTTTTTTTTAAAGAAAAGCATAATTTTTTTATTAAAAAGATCAAAACAGATATAATTCAAGTTATACTCTTGCCATATAACAAAACAGAAAAAGTAAAAATACTAGCAAGGCTCCATAATATTAATACAAAAAAAAATGTTCATGGCAGGTATAAACAATTAAATACAGAAATTCTCAAAGTATCAATAGTTGTCATAGGGTATCAATAGGGTTATATAAACATAGAAAGGTGACCCTAGAGCTTTCTTAGCACCATTGGCAGCCACATCTATTGTACCACACTTTTCTAATGCATAACTGTGATATTTGGGGTAGAAGATTGGTCGAGTACCCCAATCACTGACCATGTTGTTAACAGTTGAAAAAAGTGCTATAATCAAACTAAGCCCATCCAACCTCAAATCTAAGTTGTCTTTATTATCTACCATGGGCAAAACTTGATGAGATCCACAAAGAAAGTTTGGGGAAAAACTCCTAAAAAATGTCATCAAAACCTCTTTTGAGAGTGAAAATCCTCAAATAGAGGGAGATAATTCTACCTTTATTTATTCTCTCTAACCATTGAGGGGTTAGAGACAGCAGCTAGGGAGAAAGAAGAACCAAGAGAGAACGGAGAGGATGAGGGTGAGGGTGAGATAGAGGGATGGGTGGCAGCTAGGGGTTTTTTTCTTGTCCCCTTTCACTTATGTTTTCTTTTAAGATGTAATGTAGATTTCTCCAAATTTTTTAACATTTTCCTTTTGATTGACTTTTAAGCAAGTTGAGAAAGCTACACCTCCTTTTTCTCCAATATTAATATGTTTGTATACCACTAGCCCCAATAGAGGATGAGAAAGGTTAGCCCAGTCTAAGGCCAGAAGATTCAGTAAACACACTCTTTTCTCTTTCATATGTGTTTATCTCTTTGCTTCTCCATTTGCCTCATCGCTTGTTTGTCAATCAAACCAGTTCTAATTTTTCAGCTTTGAAATTGGATCGTGGATCAAGTTGCAGTTGCGGGTTAATGTAGGTCAGAGGGATGAGAAGGAACTCTTCCCTCTCCTGAAGCCATGTCTATGAGGCAACCCAAAAGTGCATGAAAAGAAATCATTAAGCCAGATAGAGAGACGAGGGAAAATGGTTGGCACTGGTACAATCGCTTTTGGGAGGAGTACCAAAGAAATTATTAAACCGTCTTCTCCAACTCCACCTCACCTTAAACGTCTCCAGCTTTCCCTTCTTGACCAGCTTATTGTTGATGTTTATGTACCTTTGGTTTTTTTCTACACTCAAAATGAAGGTGATCTTGGTGAAAGATCCCAAATCCTAAAATCGTCCTTATCTGAGGTTCTCACTCAATTCTATCCACTTGCTGGAAGAATAAAGGAAAATGCCTGGGTCGAATGCAACGACGATGGGGTGGACTATACTGAATGTCAGGTTATTGATTGTTCCATTCCGGAGATTCTTCACCAACCAAATCTGAAGCTACTTGCAAAACTTCTCCCTAGTGATTCTACCTTTTTTTCTGGAGCTGCCACAAATGAAGGTCCTCTTGTGAGTGTTCAAGTTAGCTTCTTTAACCGTGGTGGATTGGCAATCGGGATTTGGTTATCGCACAAGGTGTTAGATGGGGCCTCCCTCACTGCATTCATAAAGAGCTGGGCAGCCATTGGTAGAAGGGATCCCGGTCACTTGTTCTCTCCAGACTTTAACAAAGCATCATCTCTTTTTCCCCCTTTACAGTTCCCACCTGAAATTGCAAAGCTGCCCTATCAGAACAGGAATGTAATTAAGAGAACGTTTGTGTTTCACTCCTCAAAGATAGCGGAACTCAAAGCTAAAGCTGCCAGTGAAAGAGTCTCACAACCATCCCGCGTGGAAGCTGTGACGGCACTCATATGGAAGTGTGCAGTGACTGCATCAAGGTCAAATACCGGGTCTTTCAAACCATCTGCTTTGTACCAACCTGTGAACTTGCGAAGGAGAATCATTTCAGAGAACTCAATGGGTAATCTCTTCGGGAGGTTGGTCGCACAAATTGGAGATGGTGAGATTCAATTGCCATTCTTGGTTGATCAACTTAGGACAAAGTTAAGAGAAGCCACTAAATTGTTTGAAGAGAAAATTCAAGGGAACGAGGCATCTTCGATCATTTTTGGGTTCCACAAAGAGGTAAGAGAGCTTCATCTCAAAGGGGATGATATAGATGTCTACTCTTTCACTAGTTGGTGCAAATTCCCATTATACGAAGCTGATTTTGGATGGGGAAAGCCATGTTGGGTAAGTATTCCTCCGGGGGCTGTGAAAAATTGTGTTGTATTGTTGGATACAGAAGAGGGAGAAGGGATAGAAGCATGGGTGACCTTGAGGGAAGAAGATATGGCTTTGTTCGAACATGACCAGGAACTACTTAAATTTGCGTCTGTGAGTTGCAGTCCTCTAGCTTGATTTCTCTTGTTTCCTTGTATCCTTGTGTTAGTACTCCTTTTCAATAAAATTGTACATTTTGCTGATCCAGAAAATGTGCAAATATCATTTTAGTTTCTAAAATAAAATCACCTATGGTTACCTTGAATAATTCTCCTTTTCAGTAAATAAACTTTAGCTGGAACTCTAGACTTCTATCTTGAATGAGTTCATGGAGAAACTCACATACCTTGCAAGGGATCCATGTTCTACAAATGATTCTCATCAGTTTTTGACAATAAAAATTCATCCCAATTTTACAATGTCCATACGACAGTAAAAACTTGTTTAGTTAGAGGATTAATTTTATGAGAAAAGCTTTTATTAAAAAAGTGATCAGAAAATATTATACAAAAAATTGATACATTTTGTAATGGAATTTTGTTAAATTGTTAACGTTTTAAAGATTGATAAGAAATTAGTATAGAAAAAGTTAGTAAGAAAGTTATTAAATGAGTTCTGCACAGGGTAAGTTAGAGGAAAACTTTTTCAAACAAAAAGGTGTGGAAAGAAAATTTACTTGTTGAAAATTATGTTAAAGAAAATAAATATTTAAAATGACTTTTTTACCCTCTTTTGTTATAGTTCTAATATATAAAAATACTTAAATAAATTTGTAAGAGAAAAAGTTTGGAGGGAAAGTGACTTCACAACCAAACAACCCCTAAATAAATGGATGTATATCGAAACCTAACTGGAAAAAATCAGCAAAGAAGAGCCCTACTAGGAGACACAGGAGCTATCAATTGTGTTTTTTTACAACTAACAGGAAGAATATAAGGAATATTTACGGTTTGCATGCTATAGTTCTTGGTTAGTGTGGACCAACTGCTATCAATATAGGTGGAGGCTCGGAACGCCATCGCACCATGGAGGTAAAAGTCATTTCTAACACTTCGGTTTGATAGTCAACAAGAAATCATCGCAAGCATGGAGAGTGCTCTGCTGGTCCTCGGTGGTATGGTTATAACAAACTATTTGGATAATTTAACTATTTTCTTTATAACAAATTTAATGTTTATTTAGACCTTATTTGTATAAATAAAGTCAATACTAGTCACGTCAATAATAATATGTCAATACTTTGTCTATGCAAGCAGACCACAAGTGAGCATTAAGTTTATCGTAAAAAAAGAGAGTTAAATTGCCTAAATTACCAAGTTTAGAAGTTTATTTGTTTCAATAAAAGTTTAAGGACTTAATCAATCATTTTAGGTAAGTTTGGGGTTTTAGCATAGCATTTTGTAGATTTATGTAACCAGTGGTCTTTTGTATTTTACGTGTTCCCGCCCTCAAATTGTTGAATTTGTTGTGTTGGTTATGTGCAGGACCATGTTTTTCAGAAGCCTTCCATGATTGTGTTCTCATACCTTTACAAGTAATATATATTATTTTATAACAAATTTAATGTCTATTTAGGTCTTATTTGCATGGAGAAGGTCGATACTCATCATGTTAGTAATGACATGTCAATACTTTGTCTACGCAACTAGACCACAAACAAGAATTAAGTTTGCTATAAAAAAGAGAGTTAAATTACCTAAATTACTAAGTTTAGGAGTTTATTTGTTTTAATAAAAGTTCAAGGGCTTAATCAAGAATTTTAGGTAAGTTTGGGATTTTAACATAGGGTTTTACCTATTTATGTAGTCAATAATCCTTTGTATTTTAGGTGTTCCCGCCCTCAAATTGTTTATTTTGTTGTGTTGGTCATGTGGAGGAGCATCTTTTTCAGCAGGCTTTCCATGGTGTACCATTGTACTTAAGTCAATAAAATTTTAACGCCACTTAGTACCATTGTACCTAAGTCAATAAAATTTTAATTTTTTTTAAGTGATTAAGATGTTTTCAAATTAATTTTTGTCATATATTAAAATAAATTTTTAAAAAAATAATTTTAAGTATGCATCTCCACCATATGATATATTTACAGATATTAATTTAAGGTAACTTTAGGATTATATGCACTATTTTAGCCTAACTTTTTAAGATATGTCCATTTGTTACTATTTCTTTTTATAGTCACTTGTTATTGAGTTGTTGAACAAATAATCAACCCATATTTTTAAAACCATGCTCATTATCCTAATAATTAATCACTGAAATCTTATATATCATGTTTTGCAAATAAACTTGACCTATATATTCGTAATTGCAAGAATATATATTTTCTGTTTGAATTTCTCCTTGGAACACAAATGTTTGAGTATTTGGTAGTCTATACTTTGTGA